AAAAAAAAAAAAAAAAAAAAGAAACCCTACAACAAAGGCCTCACATACTGTGCTCTTCTTGAACTACATGAAGTATGGATCTGCTTTTAGTTCTTTTCCGGCCCCAATTTTTTGGTGGATAATTTTCTGCCGTGTACAGAAAAATTGATTCAATACAGTAAGTTATCAGTAACTACCAAAAAAATAATGCACTCTAGGATGCCTCTGTCTGTCTGTCTGTCTGTTTGTTTGTTTGTTTGTTCTTTTTCAGGGACTAATGGATGCTGAGGGTCAGGGTTGGAAAACTTGGAACCCATGATAATAATAGAGAGGAGTGTGAAATCTGTTTTTTTTTTTTTTTTTTTTTTTTTTTTTTTTTTTTGTAACCCTTTCATCATGACGGCGGCTGGAAAGGAACCAGGCTGTGCCTGCCCAGGGAAAACAAGGATGAATAGATAAGGGTCCATCACTCCGGGCTGAGCTGTGAAGGGAATTGTCACTGAAGTTACTAAACCATAATAATTACTGAACCATGATTGCGTATTGTTTCTTTTCTCTCAGAGAAAGTGAGACTACAAAGAGAGAAGCATGCATGCATGCCACCACGGCGCGAAAACAATTATGATTTATCATGATGGACTGCTCATTTCTTTTTTCTCTTTTTTCACTCCGGTTTGTAGTTTACGGACTGCTCTGCCTGGGTTGTCAAATTTTTTTTTATTTTTATTTTTTTATTATTATTATTTTTTTTAATTCAGGGAGAACATGTCTTGGCGTATAACTGTCGCACAATGACCCACATTATATTATATTTATTTAAGTTTATTAGTATATTACCCAGAAGAATAGTAATGAGTGAAATACATTCAATAAGGTAATGCAGCGTTAAATTATTATGTATGGTGCTCACTGCTCACTCAATCGCATGGAACGGAGGAGAGCTTAGTGTTGCTGCTTTGAAGAAGTAATTCCAATTTGTTGCGCTCATTTGTCAGCGGTTGCAATGCCCTGCAAATCAAGTCGACTTTTGTGTCGATATCTTTCAGCGTCTGCGAGAGCAGTGCGTGTTTCTTCTCTTGTTCGTCGACCTGGGTCCGTATTACTTCCATCTCCAGGAGCATCCTTTTGACTTTACTGGCCGACTCCACTTCTTCCGACCTGAGGTGGTCGAGCACGAGCTCCGCTATGTGCAGGGCGTTGACCGCTGCCGCTTTATCTGCTATCGTGTCATGCAGTTCATTCTGCAACACAATGCACCTTGTTTCGACTTTTTGTAACTCGCGAGTGAATCTCTCGCATTCCCCTTCTAGCTCTTCATCCCTTTCCCGGGTTCCCCCCGCCTCATCCTCTTGCCGGCGATGCACGGAATTGAAATCGTTGACCCCCCCTATGACTGTTGTGGGCCCCGATGCCGACCAGGATGATTGCACCCCCCCCCTCCTCCTTAAGAGGTCATCACGACGGCGTTCGATTCCGAGTCCGCTTTTAGTCCCCCCCCTTTCCCCCTCAGTACCTCCTTCTCGACGAGATGCCGAGCCGTCACTTCCAAGCGTGTTTTTCTTCGTCACAAAGTTCTGGATCAGCTGCTGCAGGGCAACGTTTGTTGCTTGAGACTCTATCTTGCAGCGACAGTACGGGCATGTCTTCTTCTGATTTGTTTTCGTGTGAACTGCGATGCATTGCGCGCAAAACGAGTGGCCACAAGGAAACAAAAGTATGGGGGAGTGCCTTGGGGGAGCCATCAGCTCATAGCAAATTGGACATGTGTGGCTCTCGATTTCCGATGCCAAATAGCTGTCTAGCTTCTTAGTAGCCATAACTTGTCCGTCCGCGGCTTTCTGTTTCTCCTGTTGCACTTGGCATTGCAGTTCTGCCCTGATCCTGTCAGCTATCCTCTCCGTTATCGAATTGATAATCTCCTCAGGTGCCAAAAGACTCGCCGCCGCGGGCGGGGGATGACGAGGGCCCGAGCTCGAACTCGTGACCCCCTTTTCTCCAGATCCAGGGGGGGATTGATCTTGAAAGGCCATGGTGTGAAGGCTCTCAACAACCTCTTTGCGGTCCTGTTCCAACTGTCTTTCTTGCATCCATTTCTCTCTGCCAGCTCGTATCTGCGCCAATCTTTCAGCTAAATTGCCATCCATTGGAAAATCACTTTAAGAGGAATGACAGCTGCCTCCGTGAGTGTGTAAAGGCCTAATATGGCAAGTAGTATAGTGGGTTTTTGCCAGAAGGTTGGTCGGTCCTGTAGAAACAGACAGCCAGTGATTTCCCTCAAGTTTCTCAAGGATACCTTGAAGCCAGTTTATGTAATGCGCTCTTCCATAGATTGGACCTGTCGCAAGGGGGCGGGGGAAGGGGGGGGGGCGGGTTAGAGATTGGACACGTCGTGCCGTGGAGCCGCACGCCCGTCAACGGAAAGGGGGTTCAGTACCGGCACATTTTTTGTGGGCCCACAATCGAATTCAGGGTTAGTGTAGGAATTTTGTGCCCAAGTACCAACAGAGAGACCCTGGGGCAAGCTCACACGTCTACGGACCAATGAGAGAGAGAGAGAGAGAGAGAGAGAGAGAGAGAGAGAGAGAGAGAGAGAGAGAGAGAGAGAGAGAGAGAGAGATCTTGTCTTGTAATTTCTTCTTCCTCCTTGCTTCTGTTTTGGTTTCCTCAGCAAGTGTTCCAATTTAGACTCAACTTCATCCAGTGGAGCTGTAAGAACGGACCTGAGGGTCAACCGGTCATCTGCACGAGCTGGTAGCCTGGTACGCTCCGGCAACGCACATATCAACTAGGCTATCGACTACGCTAATAGGAAGTCGGTTGTGCTAGATGGGAGATGGGAGTCTTTGGGTTGGCCCTGGCGTGTCATAGGTTAGACTTAGACCTTGGCCAGGGACAGGCCATTTGACACTGCCTGTGATACCTGGAAGTGCATGCTGAAGGATCCACTCGGCAGTAGTGGTTAATAGGTGGCGTCATTTTCGGCGAATTTTGGCGAACTTTTCAACGAAACTGCCATATTTCCCTCTTCTTTTTTTTTTTTTTCTTTTTTTTTTTTCCCAACCTGCTCGGGTTACTAGGTAGGGTGGCAAGAGCATTTTTTTGGGGGGAGTCTGATATGTATGTGCTTTAGGGTATACCTGTAGTCAGTTTCAAGGTTCGACGTATTTGGACCAGTAACGAAAAAGTTGGCAAAAACACAGAATTCGGAGAAAGATGTGGCGAACTCCGAAAGCTACTCCGAATAGGGTTTTAGAGTTGTCTTGAGTTTTTTTTTTTGTTTCTTTTTTTTCCTGTTTGGTTTTTCGATGTTTTTATTATGAGCCCGCATAGTTTCTTCGCAAAATTTTCGAACACATTGCTTGTAGTGGTGCCGAAAAAAACCCTGAATTTTGGGTCTTCCATTAATGGCTGATCTTCTTTGGGAACAACCAAGGGCCACTATAGTCAGGGTGGAGTGCCACAGGCAAGGACAAACTTAGCCCGGTCCTAAATTCATTAATAATTTCCTGCAGTAAACCTACCAGGATGAATGTGGTCACCTACCCTGAACTGTGCACGTGCAGGTCGTGCACCTGCCCGTATGGGCATCTTGGAAGGAGCAACTTGGGGTCTGGTTCCGCACGCCTTCAAAAGTTCGTCAAAACTATGAAACATAGCGTTCATTGAACGCGCGTTTGAGCCCCCAGAGCCGCAGGTGGGGGAGCGCTGGGGAGGGGGTCTTGGGGGGGTTGTTAGGGGCGCTGGCACCCCCTGCCCCCCCCCCAAAAAAAAAAACAAGTGAAACAAAATGAAGAGAAGAGGAAAAAAACAAGAAAAGAAAAGGAGAAAAATCGAGGAAAGAAAGAAAAAAAAATGAACATAAAATGTGCATGCGTGCGCGCGCACACACACAGACACACACACACACACACACAAGCTGCCTGCTGTCTCCCGCTGCCTCCCCCCCTCCGGCTCCCACTGCCTCCTCCGCTGTCTCCCCCCGCTCACCCAGCTACCGCTCCCGCTCGCCCTCTCCAGTGTCCCCACCTGCACTCGCCTCCGCCCTCTCTCTCTCTCTCTCTCTCTCTCTCTCTCTCTCTCTCTCTCTCTCTCTCTCTCTCTCTCTCTCTCTCTCTCTCTCTCTCTCACATGCTCCCGCGCTCCCGGTCCCGCTCCTGCTGCCTCTGCCGCTCCCATTCCTGCTGCCTCCCCTGCTCCTGCGCCCGCGGCCTTCCCCACTCCCGCTCCCGCAGCCACCTGCTCCCACTCCTGGTCCCGCTTCTGCTCTCTCTCTCTCTCTCTCTCTCTCTCTCTCTCTCTCTCTCTC